ACAACCGGACCCCCAAAAAAAAAAGAAAAAGAAAATACAGCAGACATTTTTCTCATGCTGCGTTTTATTTAGCTACTCGCCTCACTATTACCGTCCTGATTTGCAGCAGTATAAAGATGGTTCACCTCCTTTTATATTTTACAACAGAATTATACTGTATGTACTCATGTCTGGCCTCGTTTTGTTCATGTGAATTGTCCATATTGTTGCATGTAATTGTAGATTTTTTTAGTCCTTTTAAAAACTTGAATTTTCATTATTTATGTAGATTAAACAATAAAGAGTTTTGACAAACTACATTTTTAGCTAAAGAATCAAATAACCTGCAATTTTTCATGCTGAACTTTATCTTAGTTTATATTTCTAGTTTGATGAGTTCTCCGAGTTGGTTTTATATTGGATATTTCCTTTTTTTTTTTTTTTTGGTCAGTCGTGGGGCTTGAACTCTGGGCCTGGGCACTGTCCCTCAGCTCTTCAGCTCAAGGTGAGCGCTCTGCCACTTGAGCCACAGCGTACTTCTGGTTTTCTGGTGGTTTCAGGAAAGTCTCACAGACTTTCCTGCCTGGGCTGGCTTTGAATCACTATCCTCAGATCTCAGCCTCCTGAGTAGCTAGGATTACAGGCGTGAGCCACCAGCTCCTGGCTTATATAGGATATTTAAAGAGAGAATTTTCTTAAACTCATAAATTCTCTTTTTTTTTCTACATAGTAGTAGTACACTCGTGCTTTATTTGTTATTACTTTGTCAACAGTTAACTCTTGTGTTTCTTCATCTCCTGTAATATTTTTAATTGTTTTCTGTCTTCACAGACCTGGGCACTACATTCTCTGTCATTAATCATTGACTCTGCAGGTGCACTTTACTATGTGCATGTAGAACCCACCCTTTCGCTCATTATCCTGTTGTTGTTAAATGTGCCTCCAACTCATGCTGAAGTCCACCAAAGTCTAGGTCGCTGCTTGAATGCCCTCATTACCATGTTAGGTCCAGAGCTACAAGGTATGTATGCATTGGCTGCTTTTGCACTATTTTACATGAAAAGTATACACATAAAATTGAACTCAGTTTCTAGTTACATGGTTGGCACATAGTAGGGACACAGTATCTTCTGGTAAATGAATGTATAAGTGTCATTCAACTCAAATTTAGAAAAATAAGATATGTTACTCACACCTGTAATCCTAGCTACTGAGGAAGTTGAGATCCAAAGGATCATTGTCTGAAGCCAACCCAAGCCAAAAAAAAAAAAAGTTAATCTATGCATCTGTGAACATTTTAATTCTTTAGGGATGTTCAGACATAAAGCAGAATAGTAAAAAGAATTGACTTAGCTCAAATATTTGGAGCTGTTCTAATTGGCTTAATACAAGATTTTAATATATGAAAGTGATTCTTAACTAACACAGTAGGACTAAATTTATTACAAGTTTCTATTTTTACTTTTTATAAAGCCTTGTTAAAATCTGTAGTCTTTGATTCTTTCTTACCTAATTATTTGTATTGTAATAACCATTTCTATTGAGAATAACTAATCTTATTTTTATTTTCAACTCCAGACCTCACATTTGCTAGTCAAATGCTCTGCTATTTATACCTCCAACACTTTTTTGCCTTAGTAATTTTTCTAGTAAAGTCTTCAGTGTTTTGCCCAAGCCCAGCCTCAGATTAGAATTTATCCAGTTCTACGTCCTGCATAACTGAGATCACAAATGTAAACTACCACATCCAGTTTATTGATAGAGATAGGTTATTAACATTTTTTGCCCAAAGTGGCCTTGAACCATGCTTCTTTTAATTTTCATTTCCTAAGTAGCTGGGATTACAAGCCTTGCCTCTGATCTACAAATTTGTCATCTAGACATGGACACACTGAGTATGTTACCTAGTGCCTCACACATGCTAAACTCATGTCCTACTGGGTTGTGCCCATAGCACCATCCCTTTTGTAGTAGAAATTTTACTTCAAAGGTCCTTAAGTTTAAAACTGAAAACAAGTTTTAAAACCTACTAATATATGTTTGAGACAAATGATTTTATAGGCCAATTATTAATAGTTTGGCTTTTTATTTTAGGTAACAATACTTCAGTTTCGATGTTAAGGACTTCTTGTCTGTTGGGTTGTGCAGTGATGCAGGATAACCCAGGCTGTCTTGTTCAGGCTCAGGCCATCTCTTGCCTTCAGCAGCTGCACATGTTTGCTCCACGACACGTCAACTTGTCTAGCCTGGTTAACAGCCTCTGTGTGAGTATAAAGCTATAAATGAGTTCCTTGTTGCTTTTACTTGAAATGTAGATTATTCCAGTTAATTGCCTTCTGGACTGTGTACAAAATTATATGTTATATACATAATTATTTTTTTCATTCTATTTTGGAAATGGTAAGGCAGTTTTCATATATTTACTTCCAAATCTCTTATGAATGGGTTTACTTTTTTAATATTTGGAATATTAATTCATATATATAAACATATACTAGATGCTTCTTATAGTGTCCTAGGAAATATAGTGCTGTAGGGCACACAAATATTTATGAAGTGTCTCCTTTTTTTGTCCTATATTCTAAATTATTATAAAGAGGCTGGAGGCATGGCTTAGCAGTAGCATGCCTGGCTAGCAAGGTTGAAGCCCTGGGTTTCAAACCCCAGTATCATACACACACAAAAAAAAGTGAATAAATTATAATATAAAATGAAATTTTTTCGGGGCTGGGAAGTTGGCTCAGTGGTAGAGCGCTTGCCTTGCATGCCTGAGGCCCTGGGTTCGATTCCTCAGCACCATATAAGCAAAAAGAAAAAAGCCGGAAGTGGTGCTGTGGCTCAAGTGGTAGAGCGCTCACCTTGAGCTGAAGAGCTGAGGGACAGCGTCCAGGCCCAGAGTTCAAGCCCCACGACCGACAAAAAAAAAAAAAAAAAAGTCACAGACATGCCTGCCTGGACTGGCTTTGAACTGTGATCCTCAGATCTCAGCCTCCAGAGTAGCTAGGATTACAGGCGTGAGCCATCAGCGCCCAGCTAATGAAATGGGTTTTTTTGCTTGTTTTTTTGGTCGGTCATGGGGCTTGAACTCTGGGCCTGGACTGTCCCTCAGCTTTTCAGCTCAAGGAAACTGCTCTACCACTTGAGCCACAGCACCACTTATAGTTTTCGGGTGGTTTATTGGCAATAAGAGTTTCACAGACTTTTCTGCCTGGGCTGGCTTTGAACCATAATCCTCAGATCTCAGCCTCCTGAGTAGCTAGGATTATAATAGGCATGAGCCACCAGTGCCCGGCTTGATGAAATGGTTTTATAAGCATTATTCTTTTTAGGTTTTTCTTAAACTGTGACCAGTTTCTACCTGAAATTGAGTTGCTTTTCAACTCTTCCTGTACAATTTTTATAGCATACTCCCATTAATAACATGGTAGTTGAGAAGTTTTAATTTAGACAGTCCTTTCATTTCCAAGCTTAAAGCAAAATAGACAGCATTTCAGAGCTTGAAAGAATCTGAAAATTTGTTGTATAGATCATCTTTGTATTTACAAAATGATGTTTGCATCATTTAAACCAGTCTTAATAAAAAGATAATCTAAAAACCACTAAGTTAATAACTTGCCCAAGGTAATAAAACTAGGTAGTAGCTAATTCTAAGTGTAGATTCCAGGATTCTAGAATCCTCACTCAGTCATCATTCCAATATTTGATGATGCCTTTGTAGATTTTATGACTAGATCATGTCCGAACTCTGTCACCTCTTAACTGTGTGGCTGTAGGTATATCCAGTAATCTCTTCCAGTCTCAGCTACTTTACCTGGTAACTACAAGAGCTACAGGATCTATAGAAAAGCATATGTCCTAAGCATTTAGTTAGCATTCAATAATCATAGTAGGTTTTTTTGTTTTGACATGTTTAAGCAACTCATTGAATTAATTATTGATGCTAGTCATCACATAAAATTCAAAAGGAAGGCGAGTGGGATGCCAATGGCTCACAACTATAATTCTAACTACTTAAGAGGCTAAGATGCTGGGCACCGGTGGCTCATGCCTGTAATCCTAGCTACTCAGGAGGCCGAGATCTGAGGATCGTGGTTCAAAGCCAGCCTGAGCCAGAAAGTCCGTAAGATTCCTATCCCCAATAAACCACCAGAAAACCAGAAGTGGCACTGTGGCTCAAGTAGTAGAGCACTAGCCTTGAGCGGAAGAGCTGAGGGACAGCACCAAGGCTCAGAGTTCAAGCCCCATGACCAACAATAAAAAAGGAGGGGGGTAGGGGACTAAGATCTGAGGATCACAGTTTCTAGCCATCTGAGGCAGGAAAGTCCATGGTGAAACTCATGTCCAGTTAACCATCAAAAAGCTGGACAGATCTGTGGATCTGGCTCAAATGGTAGTGTTAGCCTTGAGCAGAAAAGCTCAGGGACAGTGCTCAGGCCTTAAGTATAATTTCCAGAACCAGCACTCACAAAAGCAAAGATATGATAGACTTTTTTGACAAAAACTTAAATTTCTCTGGGTTGTTTGTTTTTAAAAGAATTTACAGAAAAAGAATTGTAAACCAAGTGAAGTGACTTATGCCTAATAATCCTAGCTACTCAAGAGGTTGAGATCTGAAGATATTAATTTTCTCAGGCTGGAAAGTATAAAGTCTGTGAACCAAAAGTAGAGCTGTGGCTCCTTTTTTTAATTAGAATGCTAGCTTTGAACGAAAAAGCTCAGGGACAGTGGCCAGGCCTGAGTTTAAGCCCCAGGACCAGCAAAAAAGACAAGTTACATACATATAAAGGGCAATCAAGCTAAGTGCTCATGGCTCACACCTATAATCCTAGCTATTTAGGAGGTTGAGATCTGAAGATCATGGTTCAAAGCCAGTTTAGACAGGAAAATCTCTGAGACTCTTATCTCCAATTAACCATCAGAAAACAAAAGTGTAGCTGTGGCTCAAAGTGGTAGAGTGCTAGCATTAAGCAAAAACAGCTCAGGTAAAGCCCCAGGCCCTGAGTTCAAGCCCCATGACCAAAAAAAAAAAAAAAAAAAAATCAAGACTACTGTGTTATTTTTCTTTTGGATAAACTGTGCAATTAAGAGTATCTACATTAATAATTTCAAATCTTTTTCATATTGCTCATAATATTGACCAGTAAAATGATCCTTTTATATAGAACAATTTTAAAAAATCATCACTACATTAATTTTGTGCTTTATATTTTAGTTACTCATTCTTGATTTAGTAGATGGAACTTATATTTTCCAGCTCTTTTTCTGAAGTAAAGCAATTGCATTTCATCATCACACAAGAGTCATGCTGTAAAGGTTTTTGTCTTAACTGCATGCTCTTTAACTTCCATAGTTAAACTTGGCTTTACCTATGCTAGCAGTTTTGAGTACTCTCAGTTCTAAAATTTGGCTTTCAAAGGCCAGAAAAAAAAATCTATAATTAACTTGTGATGAAGTAAACCATTAACTTTGTCTCTTGCTGGATTATATTCCTGTGAATACAATCCAGGTCACTTCTCTTTGGACATGTATCCTTGATCTTAATTTTAATTCTGAGACTTGAACAGAGATTATATTTAAAAAAAAACAAATCTCATTACACAATGTACATTCATTTTTTTTTATTTTGCCAGTCCTGGGTCTTGAACTGTTCCTGAGCTTCATTTGCTCAAGGCTAGCACTCTACCACTTGAACCACAGCTCCACTTCCAGCTTTTTCTCTTTATATGATACCAAGGAATCGAACCCAGGGCTTCATGCATGCTTAGCAAGCACTATACCACCAAGCTACATTCCCAGCCCCACAAATGTACATTTCTAAATTATTATGTGCTTTATGTCTTTACATCTTTAGTTAACTATTTTCAAGATTTTAGCTCAACTCATCATGCTTTATTAAGTTAAAAAAGGTGTGTGCCATATTTTTTAACTGAAGCTAAGCCAGTTTGAATGATAACTATCACCATTTACATTTTAATGCTTAGCTGACTGTTACCGAAGTCATCCTAGTATTTATCTCTTGGTTTTGTCATGACTGGTCTGTCATTTGTTTTTGTGCAGGAGATCTTGTTGGATAATTCTGTGTTGGTAGGTCCCTGACCCTTCATTCCTAACATTTTTTTTGAGGTTTGCAGTGCTGTTTCTTTGTGTCATTTTTCTTTGGTTGTAGATGCTCTTGTTTTTGTCTGCATCTCTGTGGTTAAGTTAATCATTAATGCAAAGCCCAGTATTATAGCATGTTATATTGTGTTTAATACCAATATAAACAAATCTTTCCTGACCTCCTCCAGCTGGTGTCCTCACTTCTTGCACTGAATTTTGCATCATTTTGATTTAATATGCTCATTTCAGAAAGGAGTTGTGATTACAGTTTGATTTAATTTCTGTATTTTGCTTGCCTTGTTTGTTTGCCTTAACCTATTCTATTGAAGTGCTGGAGAATGACATGGAGATATTAAGCCTCCTATTTTGCTTTGTGCTATAGCATTCAATCTGTATCATACCACATAAAGAATATATCCCAGCATGCTTTAAGATTGTTTGACCATCCTGAAAAAATGCTGCACTTGTCTTGTGTTACATGCTTGTAAAATTCATTGAAATAGCTAGTAGGTTCATTAACGTTTCTTTAAAATTGCCATAATATGCTTTTTTATTGTAATTGTTAAATACAGCAGTAATCTTGGGCATGAGTAAATGTAATTTTTTTATATTTTAACTTCTCTGTTATCCTATGTACTAGTTTCTAACAACAGAACAGAACCATGACTGAAATGACATTACCTTGAGACATGTGTGAGTGGCATTCCTCTGCAATCTACATTGGAATTTTTTATATAGCTTGCTTGTAAAATAGAACATACTTGCAAACAGTTTCCATCCTTCTGTTTCACTGATGATATAGTAACTAATTTCTTCTGGTTTGGGAAGTATGATAAAATTGAAGATTCAGTACTTTCTACATGTGTTTTATACATAGAAAACTAGCACCACCTACCTTTTTTTTTTCCTCTTCGAATCTGCTCTTTACAACAAATTCACTCACTTTACCTCTCTCCTATAGACCACATCACCATAAGATGATTATCAAAATTATGCATTGTTTCTCAAAATTTACTTTGAGAAACACTATCATAAAAATATATATTGAGCTGAGTGATGGCCAAGTTGTAAAGGGTATGCTTAAAAAAAAATGGACCACACCAACATGATCTGTCCTGCGTAGAAGAAAATAAAATTCAAATTTCTAAATTTTGTATTATTAATGAAACCATTTAATAAAAATTTGTATCTAACAGCCCAAGTGTGATGGAACACACCTGTAATTCCAGCACTCAAGAGACAAGGATAATATGAAGCTTGAGGCCAGTCTGGACTACATAGCAAGTTTCACCCCTTCCAGGGCTATATAGTGAGACTTGGTCTCAAAACATTTTAAATAAGCCAGGCACCGGTGTCTCATACCTGTAATTCTAGCTACTCAGGAGGCTTAGATCTGAGGATCACGGTTCAAAGCCAGCCTCCGGCAGGAAAGACTCTTATCTTCAATAAAACACTCAGAAAACCAGAAGTGGCGCAGTGGCTCAAGTGGTAGAGCTCTAGCCTTGAGCTGAAGAGCTAGGGACAACATTCAGGCCCAGAGTTCATGCCCTATGACCGAATAAATAAATAGAATAAAATCACATCCAGGAACCCCTAACTTACAATTATTATTTGAGTAGATCACAGTGCTTATCATTTGTTATAGGGAGACACAGTTTACTGAGATGTACATGATAGCTCTATGATATGTACATATATGTGTATTTATACAGATGTATACATATATGTAAATTTTTATATTCTGTAATCTTAAGAGTATTTTTGCTGAATATGTGTTCTGAGTAAAACTGCTATTTAAGGATTCATTGACTTTCTATTTATGTCTTCTGAATGCAATACTGTTTCAATAAAATTTTTGACATTATTATTTGATATGATAAGTACTCTAAAAGTTATGTTAACTTCCCAACGGGCTTGTGAAATGAGATAATGATGTTATAACTCAGGAAACTAAGACACACAGAGATTAAATAACTTGCCCAAGGTCACTCAGCTAATAAGTGGTGGATCTAAGACTCAAACTAAGATGGTTTTAGTCCAGAACCTCCAATCAACCAATGTTACTATATTGCCTATGTTGCTATATTTGTATACATTTCTTAGAAAATCATAAAACATAGTGCATGAGCAAAATTGTGTAAGTTCTTTCCTCTGTGTTTATCTCTCAAAACATAAGTTTACTCAAATTCTGTCTTCCAACACTGTCATGAGGCCTTTTCTTGGATTTGTATATGAATATTGTATAATTTAGTCCATATATTCTTTAAGCTGTTGATAAATTATGTATCATAAATTTTAAGAAGTTTCTTTGTATTTGGTAAACTGTGGTCAGAATGAGGAGAAAGAAAGCCTTGTGCACATCTCATAGACTTAGTGATTGCCGTGGGAATTTTAGCTCTTTTATTCCCCAAATGGTCTTTTTCAGGTGAATCTTTGTAGTCCCTACTTGTTACTAAGAAGAGCCGTTCTGGCTTGTTTGCGTCAACTTGTACAAAGAGAAGCAGCTGAAGTTTCAGAACATGCTGTTGTGCTTGCTAAGGATAGCAGAGAAGAGTTGACTCCAGGTAATTTTTTTTTTTTTGGTCAGTCATCAGGGTTGAACTCTGGGCCTGAGCGCTGTCCTTGAGCTCTTCAGCTCAAGGCAGTCACTCTACCACATGAGCCACAGTGCCACCTATGGTTTTCTGGTGGTTAATTGAAGATAAGAGTCTCATGGAGTTTCCTGCTAGGACTGGCTTTGAACAGTGATCCTCAGGCATGAGCCACTGGTGCCCAGCTAGGTAATTCTTTTTGTCAGCATGACATCCAGGTCAAATGATTGTTTTAATATTAAATTTTCCATATATACTTGCATTTTTAAAGCAAATCTAAAATTTTACATATGTCTTCAATCTTCTGCAAGAAGCAGGTGCCAACATTTTATTCTGTAAACTTATAAATAATAAAGTCAGGTACCTGTAGCTCATGCCAATAACCCTAGCTACCTGGAAGTCTGAGAATGCTGGGATCTTGATTTGAGGCCAACTTGGACAGAAAAGTTTGTGAGGTCCCTTGTGAGCCTCATGTTTAGGCACAATGGTATGTGCTTGTCATCTAGCTACATTGGAGGCTGATATCAAAAGGATCACAGTTCCAGACCAGCTGGCAGAAAATTCCACAAGACTCCACCTCAACAGATAAGTCTACGCCTAGTGCCATATATTTATCATCCTAGCTAAAACAGGAAGCCTAAAATAGTCAAATAATGGTCCAAGTGTGTACCTGGGCAGGAATAAAGCTATTTCTAAAATACCTAGTGAACAAAAAGGGCTGGAAGTATGGTTCAGTGGTGGAATGCCTGCTTAGAAAAGGTGAGGCCCTGAATTCAAACCCCAGTACTACCAATTAATAATACTACTACTGATAATGTCTTAAGTATGTATAGTTTCTATAGTATTGTCATACTTTTAGAAAGTCATAGACGTCACAAAGTTTCCTGATATCATAAAGCCTTCAGATCCATGTGGTTTACTGTCAGGAGTCTGTACTGTTTATAATTTATATTAAAACATTCATTTGACTGGGTTAATCAGCATAGCTAGACTGGCTTAATAATCTAATAATGTCAAACGTTCTTCCCAAAGGGACTTTAAGTTCCTATTCACTCCTAAAATTGTATCCATTGCTTTATGTTTTCATTGTGTCACCGTTAGGTACATTTTCCTAGAAATACTGAATTGGTTATATGAGCAAAATTAAAGAACTCATTGTGTTATTATTCTGTAAAAATGTTGTCATTTTCCAAACCCACAGGAAAGTTAGAGGAGCCATGCAGTAAACATGTAGATTCTCCTAGTTACTATCTTTATTCCACTTGTTTTATATTTCTGTATCTATTTCTCCATCAACATCCACATACTAATTTTTTCTCGTCATTTCAAAGGAAATGCAGAAAATTTATCCCTAAATACTTCAGTTCTCATTTTCCAAAAGTAAGGACATGCTGCAACATAACCACACATTATTTCTATGCATAAGAAAATCAGTGGTTTGGTATATATAGATGAATAAACTATTTCTAGCATAGATTAATAATCCTCAGACTTCTTCCAGTAGTCAAAAAATGTTCTTTCTATTCCCATCAAAATCCCAATGACATTCTTTACTGAAATAGAGAAAACATTCCAAAAATTCATATGGAACAACAAAAGACCTAGAATAGCCAAAGCAAGTCTAAGCAAAAGAAAAAACATGGGAGGACTCATGATACCAGATTTCAAGCTCTACTACTATAGACCCATAATAACAAAGTTTGGTATTGGCACAAACCCGAAGACCAATGGAATTGATTAGAAGATCCAGAAATAAAATCATGTACCTATCGTTAGCTGATACTTGACAGAGGAGCCAAAGACATACAGGGGAAAAAGCACAGTGTCTTCAACTACTGGTGCTGGGAAAACTGGGTGGCTACATGCAAAAAACTAAAAGTGGATCCCAGCCTATCACCATACACTAACATCAACTCAAAATGGATTAAATACCTTAACATCAAACCTGAAACTCTGAAACTACTGAAGGACACTTGAACTTCTAAGCAAAGGCAGGAATTTCCTGAATAGAGGCCCAGGGTCACAACAAATTGGAGAGAGACTTGACAAATGGGACTACCTTAAACTAAAAGCTAAAAATATAGCTACCCAACTAGAAAGACAGCCAACTAATTGGGAAAAAATATTTGCCAGCAAGATATCAGACAAGGGCCTAATATCCATTATATACAGGGAACTCAAGAAACCAATCCCTCCCAGATCTAACAAGCCAATCATTAACTGGGCAAGGGAACTGGAGAGAGAGACTTCTCAGAAGGAGATAAAAATGGCAAAGGGGCTGGGAAGGTGGCTCAGTGGTAGAGCGCTTGCCTTGCATGCATGAGGCCCTGGGTTCGATTTCTCAGCACCACATAAGCAGAAAAGGCCGGAAGTGGCACTGTGGCTCAAGTGGTAGAGCACTAGCCTTGAGCTGAAGAGCTGAGGGACAGTACCTAGGCCCAGAGTTCAAGCCCACAAACAAACAAAAAAGAAACACATGAGGAAATGTTCATCATCCCTGGCTGTAAAGGAAATGCAAATAAAAACAACTCTGAGATACCACCTTACCCCAGTCAGAATGGCCCACATCCTAATTCAGCCAACAACAAATGCTGGTGGGGATGCAGAGAAAGAGGAACTCTACTGCATTGCTGGTGGGAATGTACACTAATCCAACCACTTTGGAAAGCAGTCTAGAGGTACCTCAGAAAACTAAAGATAGACCTCCCCTATGACCCAGCCATACCGCTCCTCGGCATCTACCTTGAACAGGAACCAGTATACATGCACCTCCATGTTCACTGTAGCACTGTTCACAATAGCCAAGATATGGAAACAACCCAGATGCCTCACTACAGATGAATGGATCCAAAATCTGTGGTACCTGTATACATGAAATATGCAGCCATTAGAAAGGACAAAATAATGGCATTTGAAGGGAAATGGATGGACCTAGAACAACTCATGTTGAGCAAGGTAAGCCTAGAGCAGGGAGATAAACGGCACATGGTCTTTCTGATATGTGGATGTTAAATCCAAAATGCAAGGTGGTATGACAAAGTAAACAAGACTTGTGAAACAAAGGACCTCCACTCAATTTGTCATATCATTTCTAAATGACTTCATGTTCTTGACCACATATATTATTTGTATATATATATATATGTGTGTGTGTGTGTGTGTGTGTGCACATCTGAGGGAAGTTTGGAGGAGGACACAGAATCAGAGGGAAACAGGAACATATACAACAGAAGAGCCCATCATCTGCACTGGACATCGATGTAAACTAAGCAACTCAAGGGCAGTGATGGGAATGAGGGAAAGAGACAGCTTACGCTAAGCAAAAGGAAAGAAATGTACACATCACATGATATGGAAGAAAGAGTTGTATTGTCAAAGCTCATAGAATTCACAAACATAGACCATGGTAATGACAATTTGCCTTGTGAAGGTTAAAATGTGTTTGTGACTTTAACTAAGTATCGCTATCTCACAATACTGTGAAATTTATGTAATCAATCACAATAAAAATTATGTTTAAAAAATGTTCTTTCTGACTCCTACCTACCCCCTCACCCTCAATACACAATACATTAGACACTAATCTGAAACATTTGTTTACCTTTTTATGATCTTTCAAATCTATCTTCAAAATAGCATAATATTTTAATAAGATTAGTGTTTTATGTTCTTTCTAATTTTTCAAAATGCAGGCAGTAATTCTATGTACATAGCATAAAGTTATTGAATGGAAAAAAGCTAGAGTGAAACAGCTTTAAGTTAAGTTTTAGATGGTCACACCTAAGTATTGTAGGAGATTGGTTCCAAGATCCACTATAGATATCAAAATCTTCAGGTAGCATAATCTTTAGAATCTAAATTATTTCCTGTTAGATGGGGTATATCTTCAAGAGGATTTTTGACATTTTCACAATTAAAGGAAGTAGATACTAGATGCTTATAGTTTGAGATGCTCTATTGCTTCCAGTGAGAACATTGCGTTGTAATTGCTGTTAATTTAATAGTTCACAGTAACTTAGTTGTAGTAATTAAACACTTTTCTGTGTGCAATGGTTGTTTTCTGTTCTGTCTATACTCTCACATTCTGGCCTATATGCCAGAATGAGGAAAATTTAATTATTTTTCTTGATTTGAAATTAACTTTAGGGAAAAAGTAAAAGAATCATAGCAAGAAACACTGGATAAAATTATATGTGTACTGCATTGAACATTTATCAGATAATATAATAATACATATTTTTTTTAAAAAAATAGCTGCACAGCAGTGCTGGAAATATAGCTCAAGTGTAGAGCACTTGCCTGGCAAATGAGCAGCTGTGCCAGACACCGGTGGCTCACACTTGTAATCTTAGCTACTCAGAAGGCTGAGATCTGAGGATCACGGTCCAAAGCCAGCCCGGGCAGGAAAAGCCGTGAGACTCATCTCCAATAAACCAGCAGAAAACCGGAAGTAGTGGTGTGGCTCAAGTAGTACAGCACTAGCCTTGAGCTGCAGAGCTGAGGGACAGCACCCGGGCCCAGAATTCAAGCCCTATGACCAACCAAAAAAAAAAAAGGCTGTAAGTTCTAGACCCCCTGTACTTAAAAAATAATAATAATGGTTGCACAGGATCAAAGTCATGTAAAATTTAACTGTGGTCTAAGTTATATTTCAGTAGATTAAGGTTTAATATGTAGGCTAGTTCTTTAAGATTTATGTATGTGTAACCTTTAATGAATATTGAATATGTGTGCTTCTCATATGGCAGTTTTGTTTTCTGTATTACTTAGATCACCGGTTTTCTTCTTGTCAGATGCTAACATCAAAGAAATGGGCCTTGAAGGGGCATTATTGACTTTACTAGACAAAGAGACAGATCAGAGATTATGTCAAGATATCAAAGAGACTTTAAATCACATGCTTACATCCATGGCAGTGGAAAAGCTCTCCTTTTGGCTAAAGCTTTGTAAAGATGTACTTGCTGCATCTGCAGGTAAGTGCTAATTTGCAGATGAAAGAATAAGATGGGGGGAAAAATCCTTATACAAAATACCACTTGGAATGCACCAGTTTTATCTGCTTGAATTTTAATTGGGTTGTTACTGGTTTCTTCAGGTGATGATTCTACTTGAATTATCTTTCATTTACACAAAATAAATTCAAAGTGTTCAGATTTGTTTTCCCTTTTGATTGTCCTAAATGATTTTCCAGTATCAAAGAAGCATTTATACTATTAAAACTATAACCTAATTTACATTAATCCCATTATTTTTTTTCACATATGATAAACACTTATGAGATTGTTTTAAATCAAAAACTACAGAAATCTGCTAGCTGGTGGCTCACGTCTGTAATCCTAGTTACTCAAGAGGCTGAGATCTGAGGATCATGGTTAAAAGCCAGCCTGGAGAGAAACTCTTGTGAAACTCTTATCTCCAATTAACCACTCAAAAAAAACCAGAAGTGGCCCTGGTAGAGCACTAGCCTTGAGCACAAAGAGGCTCAGGAACAGTGCCCAGGCCCTGAGTTCAAGCCCCACAACTGACTGAAAAAAAAACAAACACAGAGGGCTGGGAAGGTAGCTCAGTGGTAGAGCACTTGCCTTGCATGCCTGAGGCCCTGGGTTTGATTCCCCAGCACCACATAAGTAGAAAAAAAAAAAAAGCCCGAAGTGGCGCTGGGGCTCAAGTGGTAGAGTGCTAGCCTTCAGCTGAAGAGCTGAGGGACAGCGCCCAGGCCCAGAGTTCAGACCCCATCACCGGACCCAAAAAAAAAACACAGAAATCTGTCCCTCCCACAAGGTATAACCTCTGTTTTCGCTGTATTTGATGTTGGTATAATTTGGGGAGTGGAAGGGAAAAAACAAATTGTTTAAATAGGGATACAGGTTAACCCATTGTTACAAGGAGATGTACAAGATGCTATGTCGAAAAACAAACTTCACAATTTGGGGGAAGGGGGAGGAGTGTAGTTGTGGAGATGGGAGGGAAGGGATGGTAGGGGAAAAACAAAGGAGGAGACATCAATGCTTGATAAGAAATACACTCATTACCTTGCTCATGTAATTGTAACCCCTCTGTACAGTATTTTCACAATAAAAAACTAAAGAAATCTTACAAAAGTTCTTGTTTAGAACAAGCTAGTTCTAAACCAACTAGAATATCACTGATCCACAATTAGCAATGTTCATTTCAGATACCATTAGAAAACAGTGCTATTTCCCTAGTGTCTGTACTAATACAAGATAATGGTTAGTAAAAATATGAATTTGGGTTTTTAAGTATGTGTTATAATGTAAGAAAGAAAATAAATTAGAGAAAAAATAAAGAATGATTCTGTCCAAAAACTGTTTACAACCCATCCTATGAATAGGTAGTGTTTTATTTTACATATGAAAAAAATAAATAAAAGAACAGGCTTGGAGAGGAAATGAGTTGTTTAATGACAGCGCTACAAGCCTAAGTTTGCATAAAACACGTGAATTTCTTTTCCAGCTCAAAAAATAAAACATTTGAACTTTCCAGTATCGTTTTGTTTGTTTTTGCCAGTCCTGGGGTTTGAAATCCTGGGTGCTGTCCCTGAGCCTCTTTGTGCTCAAGGCTAGCGTTCTACCACTTGAGCCACAGTGCCACTTCTAGTTTTTGAATGGTTAATTGGAGATAAGAGTCTCACAAAGACCTTTCTGCCTGGGCAGGCTTTGAACCATGATCCTCAGATCTCAGCCTACTGAGTAGCTAGGATGACAGGTGTGAGACACTGGTATCTAGCTTAATCCAACTTCTTTTTGCTGGTTAATTGGAAAGAGTCTCCTTTTCTGCTTGGGCTGCCTTCAAACCTCAATCCTTAGATCTCAGATTCTTGAGTAGCTAGGATTACAGGCATGATCCACTGGCAAGCTGTTAAAACTCTCATTTTGACCTGGAACAGGTTTCATAACATTTCCTGTAGCTTAACACTGTTACCTATACTTATTAGACCTGATAATTATTTAGTGACATGTGATCGATCAATCTAAAAGTCATTTTTTGTGTTCCTTTATAAATATAAACTGCAGTTAATTATCATGTGTGCTTTCCCTTGGTAAAAGATTTTACAGGAGTAACTTGTGTGGATGCAGTGCAAGAGGAAGAAGGAGACAGAGGTGATGATGCGTCAGTCCTGACCACCAGGAGCAATGAAAAATCACACCCTTTTACAAATCCCCGATGGGCCACTCGGGTCTTTGCTGCTGAATGTGTCTGTAGGATAATTAAGCAGTGTGAGAATGCAAACAGAGCACATTTTGACATTGCCTTAGCACAAGAAATGAAAAAGAGAGACTCAAGAAGTAAGTAGCATAGTAATGAAAAGAGCAAGCTAAAATAAAAGACTTTAGTCTTCCAACTTAGTTATGAAACTTCATCATGTTTATGTAAGTTTTGGGTCACTACAATTTTAATATTACTTTCTTAATGATAATATTTTTTACATTTACATTTTTCTAAAGAACATATTCAATGAGGTAATCAGGTTCTTGAGAAAAAAAGTATGCAGTAGCTAATTCACAAAAAAATATTTTCTGACTTGTAATTTTTACCAGATTTTGCTAATAGATTATTTTGATCTGATAGATATGAAGAAACATGTAAGCCCATCTAAGTGTAAAATAAACTGATTGTAACTCCACTTTGACCTTACCTATAGTTTAATTTTAAAATCCATGTGAGACCACATGTTCAAAAATACAATGCATGCCAGGCACTGATAGCTCATGCCTATAATCCTAGCTACTCAGGATGCTGAAATCTGAGGCTTGAGGTTGTAGCCAGCCCAGTCAGAAAAGTCTATGAAACTCTTTATTTCCAATTAACTACCAAAGCTAGAAGTAGAGTTGTGACTCAAGTGGTAAAGTGCCACCTTTGACTGAAAAAGCCAAAGGACAGAGCCCAGACCCTGAGTTCAAGCCCCAATACTGGCATTAATAAAAGAAAATCCACAAAGCACATTTCTAAATGCCATAGGAATATCAGACAAAATAATCATAAATAATTACAGAGCAAATATTACTATTACCAGTGTATGAGTTAGGTATCTCTGATTTAATTATTTTTCAACCAAGTTTTTCTTGAAGTTCCTAGTTGAGTGCTATGCAAGATACTTTGGGGTATAAAATTGGTATGCCATGGATAGTTCCTGATTCCTATGCTCCCAATTAAAATTGTAGTTGGTATTCACTTAAGATTTGGGAGTGCTTTACTGTGAAGGTTTTTCTGTGAACTATTGTCATATTTTCTAGATAAAGGTTATCTGTATTCCTAATCTTACTGAAACAGGATAAATTTCTTATGTCTCAAAATTGATATTTATACTGAATACTGCTTTATAAGAATGAAAGAAATAACCATTCCTTTTATATCATCTTTATATGCCCGTCATTTGTATATCTATCAATATATGCAAAAATGAAACTATCCTGTGCCAGTGGCTCACACCTGTAATCCTAGCTACTCAAGAGGCTGAGATCTGAAGATCAGGTTCAAAGCCATCCTGGGCAGAAAAGTCTAGGAAATTCTTCTCTCCAGTTAAGCAGCAATAAGCCAGAAGTACAGAATAGCTCAAATGGTAAAGCACCTTACTTGAGGGAAAAATACCAAATGATAGCACAAGTCTCTGAGGTCAAGCCCCAGTACTAGCATAGATAGATAGAAGATAGGTAGGTAGGTAGGTAGATTTGATAGATGATAGATAATATATCTGTATATAGTATTTATAGATATATCCAGCCCATACAAAGAGCCAAATGATCAGGCCCAGAGTTTAAGCCCCATGACCAAACAAAAAAATCAAACAAAGAGCCAAATGACACATTTTTAGGTGGGAGTATTAGGGAGTTACCGTACTTGGGCTTGAACTCAGAAACTGAAGCTCTCACTTCTGTCTTTTTTTTTTTTTTTTTGGTTAATTGGAGATGAGGCTCTTGGATTTGTCTGCCCAGGCTGGGCAGCTCTCAGCCTCAGATCTTGACCTACTGAGTAGGTAGGATTACGGTCATGGGCCTCCAGTGTCCTTAAAACCTTTTTTTTTTCTTTACCATTTTTTTATTTTTTTATTGTTATAAAAGTGCTGTATAGAGGGAAACATTACATAAGTCAGGTAAAGAATAGAGTTCTTTTTGGACAATGTCACTCTTTTCCTTCTCTGTCTCACAGTGAAACCTTTTTTTTAAAGGAACATTAAGAGCTAAGTACTGAGGCTCATACTTGTAATCTCAGCTATGTAGGAGTTAGAAATCTTGAAGATCTTGGTTAGGTGCCAGCCTAGGGAAAACGTTAGTGAGACTTTGTCTTGATCCGTAAGTGGGGCATGGAATAGTGTGTGCCTGTAATTCCACCTAGGCATAGGTAAGAGGAGGGTCAAAGTCCAGGATGGTCCCAAGCAAAAACAGTATACTCTTATCAGAAAAATAACTAAAGCTCAGAAGGTGAAGGAACTGAGCACATGGCTCAAATGGTAAAACACCTGCCTAGCAAGCATGAGGTTCTGAGTTGAAATTGCAGCACTGATAAAAATATAAATTAATAAAGGAACATTAAATCTCTTAGCGTCAGCTTGAAAAAGAGCATCAATTACTGCCTAATTCATCAAAACCCAAGGTTTGTTAAGTATCAACTAATGTACTTTTATCAGAAAATCTGAACAAAATCTTTATTGACAAGATTATTAGCACTTTTTTTTTTTTTTTGGTCCGGTCGTGGGGCCTGAACTCTGGGCCTGGGCACTGTCCCTCAGCTCTTCAGCTCAAGACTAGCGCTCTACCACTTGAGCCATAGCGCCACTTCTGGCTTTTTTTTTCTTTTTTGCTTATGTGGTGCTGAGGAATCGAACCCAGGGCCTCTGGCATGCAAGGCAAGCGCTCTACCACTGAGCCACCTTCCCAGCCCGTTAGCACTTTTAAAGGATGTTAATTCTGTCTTTGGCTTTTGAATAGCTTTTATAATTATTTGGTTTCAGATTTTTTGTGTGCGCACTAAATTTAAATTTAATTTAATTTAGTGTGTGTACTAAATTTAATTTTAAAGTCTGGTTTTTTTGGTGTGTGTGTGTGTGTGTGTGGTGTGTGTGTGTGTGTGTGTGTGTGTGTGTGTGTGTGTGTGTGTTTTAGTTCAGAGGTTTTTGGAGACATAGTCTCACTCTGTAACCCAGGATGACCTGGAACTCACTGTTCTGCCCAGATTGGCCTCAAACTCATAAACATCTTGTCTCATTCTCTCAATGCTGTGATTACAGGTGTGAATCACAATAGTTAGCTTAAATTCTGTATTTAAAACAGTGAAAATAAGCAGTAATCAACTGAAAGTTTCCTTAAAAAAAATTATAGGCTATGAAATTAAAGGAGGAGAAAGTGTGACTGTATAAACCTTAGTTCCAGCATATTCATTTTCTTGATAAGATCTTTTTAATCTTATAGATGACTTTTTGGTGCTTCATCTTGCTGACCTAATTCGAATGGCTTTTATGGCTGCCACAGATCACAGTGACCAGCTCCGTCTTTCTGGCCTTGAAACCCTATTAGTTGTTATTCGACAGTTTGCAGCTATTCCAGAACCAGAGTTTCCGGGTCATGTGATTCTAGAACAGTATCAAGCCAATGTAAGCATTTTCTGTTAGAATTGTTTACATTAAACAACCCTGATAAAATGTCTGAGATCATTTGTCATGTCACCTAAATTTATGAAGGATATCTCTTCTAACATATCACTACTATTGTCAGTAGGCAGAAAACACACACTGTAGAAGAAATCTAACAAATGATTTTTTTAAAGATTCAAGTAAAAAAGTGGTGTACATAAATATTACATTTTAAGGGTTGATTTTATAATTAAGGTCTGGTTAATTTGAGGGTATAAAGTAGCTTAGTAATGAAATTTTAACTTTTTAAAATATCTGAATAAGCAACATAGCACTACTCTATTTAGGCCACATGTGTGTTTTATATTTATTACCCCTTCATTACTTTTTACTAGACCTAGGAAAGGATGCAGGTTTATGTTTCTGGTTCGTAATTTTTTTTTTAAATGATTGGATTTGACTGGTCCATTGAGCTATATAAGGAGATCAAGGACGATAACAAAATATCATCTGTCTTGTAATCCTGTAGCCATATTCAGCCAAGTATGTCCTAGGATTCAGAGGTAACTTCCAGTGGCTGATAGTGAAAGAAAATATCTAGAGCAATTCACCAGCTGGTTAGCAGTCTATATCGCTTATTCCCAGCAGCTAACACCAGCATATAGTTGGAGAAAAAGCAAAAAAGAAGGGGTTGAAGTTACATCAATTACCCTATTTGAATAAAGTATTATAATCCAATTTAGTTAAGGGGAGCTTCTGTATTTTTAGCCCTCTTAGAACTGCAGGTGCTAGAAATCCAACTCACTTAGGCAGAAAAAGGAAAATTATTGTGAGGAATCCCTTGGTTGGTTCTGCTTTCTTTAAACTTTTTTTCGAGATTTTCTCTCTTGAGTGATAGCAAGGTGATTGTCAGCACCCAGGTCCTCATGAAGAGACAGGGCTTCTTTCACAGGACTTTCAGCAAAGACCTAGGAGTTTTCACTGTCCCAGTTGTGAGTCCCTGGAGCCAAACAGTACTGCCTGTTCCAAGGAAACCACATAGACTAACACTTAGGGGAGAAATGATTTCCCAAAAGAAAAATTGAGATGCCAATATCTAAAAATAAGGGAAGAAGGAAGATATTCAGGATAGGCAAACACAACAAATGCCCAGAGTAACTTATAAATAAACAATTTTGAAATAATGTTTAAGATTTGCTTTCTTATTGATGTATGGTATCATAAAATTTCTTGTCAGGTAGGAGCAGCACTTAGACCAGCCTTCACTTCAGATACACCACCTGACGTCACTGCCAAAGCATGTCAGGTAAATGGTTAAAAAGAAAAACCTTTAAAAAATGATCTTAACAGTTGTCTTACCATCTTTCTCAGCTTCCATTCCCTTCTCTTTTCTTCCTTTTCTCTCCCCTCCCTTTATGTTTAGAGGATTTCCTCTTAAAAAAACAACAACAACAACAACAAAAACACTGTATAATGGATATGTCACAATGCATGTATTCAGGTCCATATTAATGCATACAGGAATTTTTTTGTCTTTTGCTATTACAAATAGTACTGCAATAAATGATCTGTGTAGATCTTTGTACTACATGCAGACATCTCTAAATAGTACTGCAGTAAATGATTTGTGTAGGTCTTTGTACTAGATGTGGGCATTCCCCAAAGTGAATGATGATTGAAGAGTACAAAGTTTGCCAATTAAAACTCTTACCAGTAGTGTACACAATTTTCCAACATCCTCAGGAACATGGTAAATTATGAGACTTTGAGATTTTTATCTATATGAAAGACAAAAAATGTATAACCTTTTTACAAGGGCATCTCAGGAAAGCTTACGCTTGTATTTCTAGCAAAGTTGAACATATTTTCATCTAAGAATCATATAATACTTTTAAACAGTTGCTTTTCTTGAAAATGGTTGTCAAACATTATCCAACACTGTAGACCTGAAGTAAGTAAAAGCGAGAGTGGAATGAATAAATCAAATATAAGTGTAATGTAAAAATCTAATTTTAGTCAATTCTTTCTACTTTATTTACTTATGCATGCATGCTGAGGATTAAATTCAAAGCCTTGCACATGCTAAGCATGTGCTTTACCACTGAACTGTACCCCTAACAAGACATCTTTCTTTTACTCAGTTGTGACTATGATACTTGCTACAGGAGGCTAAGATCTGAGATCACAGTTTGAAGCCAGTCTGAGCAGTAAAGTCTATGAATAGAGTCTTATCGCCATTTAACCACTAAAAAGCCAGAATAAAGCTATGGTGAAAGTGGTAGAACATCAGCCTTAAGCAAAAAGCTAAGAGACAGAGCCCAGGGCCCCAGTACTGGCACACATAAAAAGAAAAAGAAAATGCCAGGAGCCAGTGGCTCACATCTGTAATCCTAGCTACTCAGGAGGCAGAGATCTGAGGATTATGGTTCAAAGCCAGCCTAGACTGGAAAGTCTGTGAGACTCTTATCTCTAATAAACTACTCAGAAAAGGCTGGAAGTGGCTTTGTGGCTCAAGGACAGAGCCCAGGCCCTGATTTCAAGCCCAAGAAAGAAAGAAGGAAAGAAGGAAGTAGGAATGAAGGAAGGAAAGAAAAGAAAGAAAGCAAACGAAACAAAGAAGGAAAGATATGAGAACCTTCACTGTAATTTATTACATTGTCTGTGTTCTCACCATAAACCACTTAAAATGTACTGTGAGACAAGAACTAAATAAATATAGATAAATCTTATTTACAATGGAGTTAAATTTCAAAAAACTCATCATAAGTTAAAATATCAGAAATGGAAAATGCATTTAATATACTTAAACTACCAACCATCATAGCTCAACAACTTAGTACACTGTAGTTTTTCTTCATGATCATATCAGTAGCCCAAGAAAAGATAAAATTCAAAGAACAGTTTCTTTTTTGTTGTTGTTTGTTTTTCAGTTGTGGGGCTTGAACTTGGCGCCTTGGCCCTGTCCCTGAGCTGTTTTTGTTCACGGCTAGCATTCTGGTGGTTAATTGGAGATATGTCTCATGGGCTTTCCTGCCCAGACTGGCTTCTAACCATAATCCTCAGATCTCAGCTTTCTAGCTGGGATTATAGGCGAGAGCCACTAGCATCCGGTTTAAAAGTACAGTTTCTATTGATACATACTGTCTTTGTACCCTTGTAAAGTAAAATCATTAAGTTGAACCATAGTGATTCGAGAGTCACCTATGCATGGAAAAAGGCAAGTAAAATTTCTCTAGAAAAAGAAAGATGTCATTGCTCATAGAAAAAACACATTTTGGGGCTGGGAAGATGGCTCAGTGGTAGAGTGCTTGTCTTGAATGCATGAGGCCCTGGCGTTGATTCCTCAGCACCACATAAGCAGAAAAGCTGGAAGTGGCACTGTGGCTCAAGTGGTAGAGTGTTAACCTTGAGCTGAAGAGCTGAGGGACAGCACCCAGTCCCAGAGTGCAGGCCCCACAACCAAAAAAACCAATTCTTTGATTAGTGAAAAAAACTTTTTGTATTGCAGAATGAGAGTTCTGTTTTTAAAATTAAAAATATTCTTTTGTTTCTTTCCTATGTTCTTCCCTATTGGTATAACCCCTGTTTTCACTATATTTGATTCCTTTACCCTGTATCTTATCTATACATTTTTCTAATTTGGAGAGGGGATGGGAAATAACAAAAGCTGAAACAAGGATACAGGCTAACCCATTGTAACAATGAGATGTACAAGACACTATGTTAAAAACAAACTCTACAACTTAGGGGTGGGGAGGGGCGGAGAAGGGAGAGTTGGAGAGGTAGGGAGGAAAGGGATAGCTGGGGAAAAACAAAGGAGAGGATAATAATGTTCAAGAGGAAATGTATGCATTACCTTGCTCATGTAACTATAACCCCTGTGTACAATATCATTACAATAAAAAAAACCTTTAAAAAAAAAATGGTTTCAAAAAGAAAAAACCGGAAGGAAAAAGGGGGCCCAAAGGGGAAAAGGCCAACCTTGGGGGAAAAAACCAAAAGAAAACAAGAAGCCCCGAAATCCAAGCCCCGGGAAAACAATAAAAAAAAAAAAACAAAAAAACAAAAGCAGCAGCCAGGCACTGGTGGCTCACACCTGTAATCCTAGCAACTCAGGAGACTGAGACCTGAGGATCACAATTCAAAGTCAGCCCAGGCAGGAAAGTCCATGAGACTCTCATCTCCAATTAGCCACCTGAAAACTGGAAGTGGAGCTGTTACTCAAAGTGGTAGAGCACTAGCCTTGAACAAAAAAGCTTGGGCATAGTTTCTGGGCCCTGAGTTCAAGCCCTACAACCGACCAAAAAAAGAAAGAAAAACAATCTGCTAGGTACCCATGACTCTACCTGTAATTCTAGCTGTTCAGCAGTCAGATCTAGAGGATGGTGGGTGATTCAAACCATGTTGAGCAGAAAAGTCTGATAAATGCCATCTCAAAAACAAAAAAACCAGCAAAATTCATGGCCGGAGGTATTGCTTGAGTGATAAAGTGCCAGTCTCAGCAAGCAAGTTGAGCAAGGGTAAGGCCTTGAATTCAGACCCCAATACAACCAGAAAAAAGAAAAAATTATCTTTACTGAAGGCTAGAAAAATGGCTCCGTAGTAGAGCACTTGTCTAACATGTTAAGTGTTTATCTTTTCATGTCACACACTCTCTAATTTTTTAACTAGTAAGATAAAAGAATCAAGAGTAAATTAAAATGTTTTTTCTTTTTATTCAAAATAGCACTAGTTTCCTTGTGTCAACCTTAGTGTTCTTTATCTTTTGAAGTGTTGACTTTTGACTATCCTTCTCGGCATATACCATTGGGTATCTGGTTAGCGAGGTTGTCTCAATGAATAGATTCCAAAGATGTGGATGAGCCCTGCGGAACTCAGAAAGGAATATCTATAATTTTTTAAATTAACTTGATTTTCTTAAATATCAGGTTTGCAGTGCCTGGATAGCAAGTGGAGTTGTAAGTGATCTTAATGATCTCCGAAGAGTTCATCAGTTGCTTGTTTCATCATTAACAAAAATACAGGCTGGAAAAGAAGCTTTAAGTCACTTATATAATGAAAGTGCTTCTACCATGGAGATCTTAGCTGTGCTGAAAGCCTGGGCAGAGGTTGGTACTTTTTAATTTATAATGGAAATTCTGGAAGTTGTTATAAACAATCTTAGGTCAACAACCGAAATTTGAGATTTTGTGTGTATGTGTGTTGGTGGGGAGGGTATGTGTTTGTTACCCAGAGTTTTGCTCACATTGAGTAAGTATTCTACTTCTGCACTACAGCCCTACCCCTTGGCTTATTTATCAGTTTATTGCTTTTGTAAATACAGGGCCTGGAGGCCAGTCGTTAGCTTTTCCATTCAAAGCTGGCACTTTATCACTGGAGTCACATCTCCAATTCTGGCTTTTTGTTTGTTAATTGGAGATAAAAGACTTCATTAACTTGACTGCTGGGTCTAGCTTCAAACCAGAATGTTCACGTCTCAACTTCCTGAATATCTAATATTATAGGCATGAGACACCAGTGCCTGGCTATTATTTAATAAGTGTTCACAAACATTTCAGTTCAGAAATGGCTTTCTATAGCTATGTTTAAATTATTAGGCTATAATCTACAGAATGCTTCAATCAGTTATTTGTAACTGCCCAAGTTCAAGAATAGAATAGCACTATATTTACCAGTTATTTATTATCCCTGATGCATCTTCTAGCATTCAACCAAAGTTTTGTATGTGTGACTATTTCTACATGTGTGCTTTTTTTATATCATAGAGTATATCCAGTTTAGTATGTTAAGTCTGCCTTTTCAGAAAATGTAAAAATACATTTTCATCAGATATAACATTTTATAACTTATAAATTAATCTTTAACAGGTGTACATAATTGCTGTTCAAAGACATAAAAACCACAAACAAATTTCAAAGCCTACCACCTGTTTAGAAGGACTTCTTGAGTTAGTCTATACAGACCTTGGCACACTAAGCAAACTCTGGCTTGCTGCACTTCAGGATTTTGCTCTCTTAACTTTGCCTTCAGAATTTGCCTCCCAACTTCCTGATGAAGGTAAGGAAGTAAAATAATCATATATTTCAAATTTTCATAATTTCTCTGTTACCCAATAATTTTTATCCAAAACATTTCTTTCCAAACAATTTTCATATACTGGATAAGCATCTAAGTGTTGATTTAGAGTAGATTCCAGAAGTTAATTCACAGACTCATAAGAAATGCACATCTTATTTCCCACACACTACCAAATTACTCTTGAAAATAGTTTGAACAGTGTGTATGCCTACCAGCAACGTGTTTCTGCTTCTTCACATGATATATGAAATATATTTTTGCTAATCTAGTGGGTATAAAATAGTATTTCATTTTGAATTTTATTTCTTTGAAAGTCATATCTCCATAAACTAATGGTAGTCACATCTTTATAAACTAATGGTAGTTGTTTTCTTCCACAAATACTGTAATCATAATCTTTACCCTTTTTCAATTTTAAAGTCCTTTTAATGATTGAGTATTTTTTTTGGGTGGGGGGAAGTCAGTCGTGGGGCTTGAACTCTGGGCCTGGGCTCTAGCCCTCAGCTCTTTAGCTCAAGGCAAGTGCTCTACCACTTGAGCCAAAGTGCCACTTCTGGTTTTCTGAGTGGTTTATTGGAGATAAGAGTCTTGAAGACAGGAGCTGGGAAGGTGGATCAGTGGTAGAGTGCTTGCCTTGCATGCCTGAGGCCCTGGTTCAATTCCTCAGCACCTCATAAGCAAAAAGAAAAAAGCCGAAAGTGGCGCTGTGGCTCAAGTGGTAGAGCGCTAGCCTTGAGCTGAGGGACAGCGCCCAGGCCCAGAGTTCAGGCCCCACAACCGGACCCAAAAAAAAAAAGAGTCTTGAGGACTGTTCTGCTGTGGCTGGCTTTGAACCATGATCCTCAGATCTTAGCCTCCTGAGTAGCTAGGATTACAGGTGTGAGCCACTGGCGCCCGGCCCTGATTGAGTAATCTTTATATATGTACATATTAACACTGTTCCTTTTTGGTGTGTCTTACATATATTTCCTCCTAGTCTATAGCTAGGAGGAATGTAGTTTGTTTAATGTAGTTTGTTATTATACTTTGTATTTTGTATATTGCTTGACACATTTTTTCTTAAGATGACAAAGATCTATAACCTTTACAGTTTTGCCTTTCATGTTTTGAACATTAGTTGAATTAGAATTTATTTTGCAAGTATGTAATGGGAATAGGGACTTGACTTATGCTGGTTACTAATTCCACGTTTTTTGTGTTGGGTAGTTGATTGCTACTCTTAATATTCTGTTATTTCAGGTATTTTGTATATTACTATTTACTTCTGGCATATATTTTAGATTGCACCCATCACTTTCTAATATTTCTGTTCTATTCTTTGAAATTACTTCCAAAGAGATCGGTAGAATATTTATTATACTTTACATTGCATAAAATGTAAGCAAAATGGAAATGAGCTGATTTATTGAAACAGTTTAACAGCAAAAATGAATGATAGACATCTTTTAACATAAGTAAATCTTAGGTTAAGAGGGAAAAAACAAGTTGCAAGGAGATGCATAAAATATAATATCTTTTAAGTAACAACATTATAAATATAAACACTGTTGACAAAGTGTAAGAGCATACTTAGACATGATTCATCTGAGGACACTGGTTATGGGAAGAGAGACACAATCTGTTATATTAAAATTTTTTAGGGTTTTGTTGTTCTTTTTTTATTTTTAAATTTTATTATAAAGGTAATGTACAGAGGGGTTATAGTTACATAATTCAGATAATGAGTACATTTCCTTTTGGACAGTGTCACCTGCTCCATTCTCTCCCAGTTTTTCTCCTTCCCAACTTCCCTCCCCCCAAAGTTGTATAGTTCATTTCCAATATAGTGTCTAGTGATATCACTGCTAAATTGGTTTACCTTTTGTCCCACCGTTTCTGTGCTTCCCCTTCCCATCTCCAAACCAGATACACTTATATACAAGACACTTATATACACTTAAATACAAAAATCAAAAACAACAACAAAAGGGAATAAACCAAAGAAAAAAAGGAAAAGAAGAACCACAAACAGTACAATAAAAAAATTTCTTAATTCCATTTCTTGGAGCTCATTTCGATAAGCATCATTTTATACAATCATATACACACAGCTATTGAGCCCTTGTGATCGTCTCCTAAGAATATCCTCCTTTGTTGTCACTCTGAATACTTAGAGGGCTATTTAATTAATCATGTCCAAGGGTAATTATTTGTCTTTTACTATCCATTGGGTTTACTTGTAGATTTATAGTCACATTCTAATTATTACAAGGAAAAAAATGAGAGATTTAAGGAAGTAAGGTAAAATGTTAATGTCATTCTTGGAGACAGGTAAATGTGTTATTGCTATTTGTTTTAAACATGTATACATTGTTTTAGATACACACTTTTTTAAAATATTTGCTGATCAGATTACAGAATATTAAGATTTAACTTCAGATTTCCTATAAGGTTAAATATAAATCAACAGGTAACCCAACAGTTGTGCTCCCAGAAAAAAGAAAAGCACTGGTAACAAAATCTTAATTGTATGGCAGCATGAATGAATCTCAAAAGATTTTACAAGGCAAATAAAGCACACAAATACACACTGTTGATAAGATAAGCTTCATGGGCTGGGAAGGTGGCTCAGTGGTAGAGTGCTTGCGTTGTATGCATCAGGCCCTGGGTTCGAATCCTCAGCACCACATAAGCAAAAAGAAAAAAGCCAGAAATGGCACTATGGCTCAAGTGGTAGAGCGTTAGCCTTGAGCTGAAGAGCTGAGGGACAGCGCCCAGGCCCAGAGTTCAGGCCCCACGACCGGACCCAAAAAAAAAAAGATTAGCTTCACATAAACTCTAAGAGCAGACAAAATTCACCATTCCTGATAAAAAATCTAAAAGTAGTTGCCTTGGAGCATAGGGGAAACAAGGGTATGAGTAAACTTTCAAGAATGATACAAATGGTCACTTGTGTAGCAGAGAAAAGAGAAAAAATATTGGAAGCTGATTTCTTCTTCCTTTCCTTCCAAAACTGCTTCCTTTTTCCCCATTCATAGGTGGTGCTTTCTACACAGCAGAGACTAGCGAAAATGCAAAATGGCATTATCACAACTCCTGGGCACTCATCCTCCATGCTGCAGCTTTGTGGCTGACAAGCACAGGTTTTGCTGTTGCTGCGCCAGATGAAGGCACAGCTAATCTCTCCAGGCCTGTAACACCAACCTCCATGTGCCAAGACTCATCATCCAAGGCTACAGTGAAGTCCCCTGAGGATGTCTACACTGATAGGTTCCATCTAATTTTAGGTCAGTAAAACAGTGTATAAGCAGCTGGGCACCATTGGCTCACAGCTGTAATCCTAGCTACTCAGGAACCTGAGATCTGAGAATTGCTATTGGAAGCCATCTCAGAGAAGGAGAGTCCTTGAGACAGTTATCTCCAGTTAACCAGAAAAAAAACCAGAAGTAGAGCTGTGGCTCAAGTGGTAGAGCACTTGCCCTGAGCAAAAAAAGCTCAAGGATAGTGCCCAGGCCCTGAGTTCAAGCCCCAAGACTGGCACCAAAAAAAAAAAAAAAGTATAGAAGATGAAAGTCCTTTTAGAGTTATTCTTGAGTTATACCTTATTGCCTATCTCCTTAGTAACTTAACTTATTCTATGCTGGATGATAATGATAGCATTGATATAACTAGGTAAGTACATTTGTAAAAATGATAATTTTTTATGGAACTCGTTTGCCTTGTGTTTGTTAGACAAGTACTCTGCACCCCTAAAAATGTTCATATGATCTAGAATCTTATTACAAGTTGGCTTCAGTATCAAGTTGAATAAATTAAAGGAATTATAGGAGAAGCCTAGTTATTTTATTTCTGTACAGTTGTGTAGATGGTGTGAGGGGGAGGGGGGCTTTTTCATACATAGCTAGTACATGAGTCATACCGCCAGTCTGAAATTTTGTTGATTAATTGAAGCTAGATTCTTGCAGACTTTTCTGCCCAGGCTGCCTTCAAAACAAGATTATGTAAACTGAGATCTCAGCCTCCTCTGAGTAGCTATGATTGATCTTACTTGCTGTTCATTTTGTTTGTTTTTTGTTGGTTTTGTTTTTGTACCATTTGAATCATGCTACCAGATCTTGTTTTATTTATTTTATAACACAGTTGGCCTCAAATTCAAGATCCCTCTATGTCTGCCTCCTGAGTGCTGGGATTGCAGAAATGTACCACCAAACCCAGCTTTCCTTTTTTTTTAATTTTTTTTTGTCAGTTGTGGTGCTTGACTCTGGGCTTGAGTGTTGTCCCTCAGCTCTTCAGCTCAAGGCGAGTGCTCTACCACTTAACAGTTTTCTGGTGGTTTGTTGGAGATAGGAGTCTCACGGACTTTCCCGCCCAGGCTGGCTTTGAACCATGATCCTCAAATCTCAGCCTCCTGAAGAGCTAGAATTATAGGCATGAGCCACCAGTGCCCGGCTTCCACATGATTTTTAATAGATCCATGTGGTATCTATAAATGTTCTAAATTTCTCAGTATACACATAAAAAGTCAATGCTAAGAGATTCTCCCTCTCGTTTTCAACATTTTCAAGTTTCAAGAATGTATGCCCAGTAATATATAATTCTAAGCAAATTCTAATGCCCAGAGATTAATAATAGAATTTTTAGATTCATGAAGTTTACTCCATATTTTAGCTTTTCTAGAACTTCTTTAATTTTTGATAGTATATTCGGGATTGAACTAGGGCCTCACACATGCCAAGAAGGGAAGGGGCTGTACTAAAATGTGTTATCTTTCTGGGATAATACACTGAACTTCTAGAATAAATGGAACAATTTTTTTATGTCTAACCTAGCTCAAAGAAAAACTGTAAGTACATTACATATAGAGAGTTATTGATTAAATGAAACATAAATGTTATCAAGGTAAATGGTTGTTGGGCATAGTGGCTCACATCTGTAATCCTTACCAATCAGTTGGATATCAGGAGGAGTGAGATTCAAAAGCACCCAAGGCAAAAGGATAAAACGACCCCTTTCTTAAGAAACAAGCCCCTCTTAACAAAAAAGCTGGGCTTGTTTAGTGTCCCACAACTTTTAATCCAAGTTTACAAGAAAAGTATAGGTAAAAGGATCTTAATCTGAAAAAGAGCACACTTACCTGAAAAATAACTAAAAACAAAAGGACTTGAGAATATGACTAGCAAGTTTAGGGCCGTTAATTCAAACTTCAGTACAATCAAACAATAAATACATAAATGTAAACTATCAAGTTAAGATTTATGATTGATACAATCTCTATGAAACTTTTAAGGGCATAAAAGTATTGCTCAGTGGCAGTGCTTTCCTAACATGTAAAACCCTGGGTTTGATTCTTAGCATTGCAAAGGAAAAAAAATGGTTGGTTATGTGGCTTGAACTCTAGGCTTGGGCGCTGTTCCTCAGCTCGTGAGCTCAAGACAAACACTCTACCACTTGATCCACAGTGCAACTTCCTGTTTTCTGGTGGTTAGGTTAATTGGAAATCAGAGTCTCATGGACTTTCCTGCCCGGGCTGGCTTTGAACCATGATCCTCAGATCTCAGCCTCCTAAGTAGCTAGGATTATAAGCATGAGCCACCAGCACCCAGAAAAAAAAAATTTAATTATAAGAAAACAAAAAACAAAACAGGAGCTGGCAGGTGACACCTGTAATCCTCACTACTCAGGAGGCTGAGATCTGAGGATCAAGATTTGAAGCCAGTCTGGGCAGGAAAGCCTGTGAGATTTATCTCCAGTTAACTACCAAAAAAGCCAGAAATGAAGCTGTGGCTCAAGTGGTAGAGTACAAGACTAGAGCAAAAAAGTTCAGGGACAGTGCCCAGGCCCTGAGTTCAAGCCCTAGGACCAGCACAAATGTTAATTAAATAAGGCTGGGAAGGTGGTTCAGTAGTAGAGTACTTGCCTTGCATGCATGAGGCCCTGGGTTCGATTCCTCAGTACCACTGTGGCTCAAGTGGTAGAGCATTAGCCTTCAGCTGAAGAGGTCAGGGATTAGCCTTCAGCTGAAGAGCTCAGGGATAGCACCCAGGCCCAGATTTCAAGCCCCATGGCCAACCAAAAAAAATTTTTTTTTAATTTTTAAAAAGTTAGTTAAATATTTAGCTAGGCACTGGCTATAGCATGACTCTTTCCTATGTCCTAACTACTCAAAAGCCTGAAATCAGAAGTTCAAGGTTCAAAGCCAGTTCTCACAAACAGATCTGTGAGGCTCATATCTACAACAAAAAGCAGGAAGTGGCATTGTGACTCAAGTTGGTGGAGTGCCAGTCTTGAGAGTATAGGCTATGAAAGAGTACAAAGCCCTGAATTCAAGCCCCAGCACCATCACCAGAAAAATGTTAAAACTTAAATAAATTACTTTGGTTCTCTATACTGATTTCCCTGTCTCCAAATAAGCAGAAATAAGTTAAAGGTATATCAAAGCCTGGTTTGCTCAAGATCTTGGTTTAGTTTTAGCACTGCTAAACGCCCCCTTCCAAAAAAAATAAAATTGAGAACTAGCGCTAATAGCACCTCCTTCATCAGGTATTATAATAATGTAACACAATGATTTATGTAAAACACCTTGTTTGATCCATGATAACCACATTTTAGTTGGAATAAAGCTGTAAAAGCCTAAATGTTTAAGTTCTGTGGAACAATTTTATTATTTTTTCCAAATTTGAACTATATTTTATAGCAACTAAGCAATTTGTACACAAGTCTGCATGAGTTTGTGTGTGTGTGTATAAATAACAGTTTTTAAAGACTTGCCTTAATTGTTTGTAGTCTTAAATTTACAGTAGTGCATTACCTTTTTGCTAAGCTTATTTGTGTCTCTCAGCAAAATAGAAATTGATCATTTAACTTAATAAACTAAAAATCTAAAAAAAACTTCCATTTTCTTTTCCACAGGCATCAGTGTAGAATTTCTGTGTTCATTACGCTCGGATGCAACCATGGAAAGCATTACTGCTTGTTTACATGCATTGCAGGCCCTTCTAGATGTTCCTTGGCCGAGATCTAAGATTGGCAGTGATCAGGTAGTTTCTTGCTTTTGTTAGACTTCTGTAGATTTCAAGAAACAGAAACATATTCAGGTTACTATGTTGAACAGAAAGTAAAGAAAGAAGTAAAAAGATAAAAAAAATCAGTTGTATAATCAGGCATTTGAACTGGAAAACCATCAGCACTCTGGTGATCCAGGAGTGATTTATGTCTTTATATCCCATGTTTTCAAGAGAAAATTTCAAGTTCCATGTAGTTCCTACTTATAGCAAAGTATTCTTGTTGGCTGGATTCTCCTTTCAGGTCTTTTTTTTTTTTGTCAGATGTGGGGCTCGAACTCGGCCTGGGCACTGTCCCTGAGCTTTTCAGCCCAAGGTGAGCACTCTACCACATGAGCCACAATGCCACTTCCAGTTTTCTGGTGGTTAATTGGAGGTAAGAGCCTCACAGACTTTCCTGCCCAGGCTAGCTTTGAACCATGATCCTCAGATCTCAGCCAGAATTACAGGCATGAGCCATCAGCACTCGGCCCCTTCAAGTCTTTTTAAGAATCTGTTTCTGAAGCCAGGAGCTGGTGGCTCGCACTTTTTATCCTAGCTACTCAAGAAACTGAGATCTGAAGATCAAGGTTTGAAGCCCGCCCAAGGCAGGAAAGTCCATGAAACTCTTTTTTCCAGTTACCCCCAGAAAAAGTGAAAGTGGAGATGTAGCTCTAGTGGCAGAGTATTAACCTTGAGTAAAAACACTACAGGGGAAAGTGCCCCTTCTCTGAGTTCAAGCCCCAGTGCCTGCACACGTGCCTGCGTGCACACACACGCGCACGTGCGTGTGCCTGCTGCCTAGCTGGTAGGTTGAGTCTGATACTAATGTCTGACCCATTTGTGGCTATAGTAAAAGATTGCTACATAGTATAGTACTTCTTTGGCTTCTCCCAAGGATAAATATGTATTAGATTGGTACTCTTAGCCTCATATATTATCCTGCATATTAACTTTGTGGTCCTTGACTCAGTGTTAAGGTAAATGAGTAGTATGATTTCTTCTCTATATAGACTATTATTTAACACTATTATTTAAGCCTCATTTATGAGGCTTAAAGCCTTAGTTACCTTCTTACCTGAGTTGAATTGGACTTGAATAAATTGCAGGCTCTTCTGTGCTTGTTTTTTCTGTACAATAAAACAAATATGATGACAGATTTACTCCTGTTATTTTCATAAATTAAAGCAACCACAGTAATTTTCTTAAAGATAAAGAAAAATGAAATGGTGTTTCTTTGTTTAGAGAAAGACCCATTTTAGTGACATAATTTTCCTCACTGTTTATTATTCCTAGACATCCTGATTATAAATTGGAGAATCTGCCTGTCCGCCCTTATATTCTTTTATCATCTTGCTTCCATTTTTTTACTTTCTGGGTTTAGGGCCTGTGTGATTATGATCTTTGTCATAGTGACATCTCTTACCAAGATGAGACAAAAAAAAAACATTCTGAAGTTATTTTCAAGTGTTATTACATAACTGTTGCATTAATACCATTTTTATGAGCAATTTGCTAAATTCTGTTTCTGAATTTTGTCATGGCATTTTATTTTATTTTATTTTATTTTTGGGTCCGGTCGTGGGGCCTGAACTCTGGGCCTGAGCGCTATCCCTCAGCTCTTCAGCTCAAGGCTAGCGCTCTACCACTTGAGCCATAGCGCCACTTCCGGCTTTTTTTTTTCTGCTTATGTGGTGCTGAGGAAGGGAACCCAGGGCCTCAGGCATGCAAGGCAAGCACTCTACCACTGAGACACCTTCCCAGCCCTGTCATGGCATTTTAAAATTGTTACTATTTTATCAGAAAAAGAAAATGTATATCATTTCCAATATTGTGTTTACTACATATTTTTCTATGATAGGACTTGGGTATTGAGTTGCTGAATGTTCTACACCGCGTAATTTTGACCAGAGAATCCCCTTCTATTCAACTGGCTTCACTTGAAGTGGTAAGGCAGATTATCTGTGCAGCTCAAGAACATGTGAAAGAAAAAAGACGAAGTGCAGAAGGTAAATGTTAACTCAGAATGCCAAATTAACAGATCAAATGTAGGGCCTGAAACACACTAAGCAAGCAATCTTAACACTGAACCATTGAGCAACATCCCCAGCCCAACATCACTGTTTAAATAATTGCTTAATATCTACTATATATAGGAAAATTGGAACTTACTTTTTTTTTAAGTGCTAGGTAATAGGGCTTAAACTAAAGACCTAAAGGTCTACCACTTGACCCTCATCTCCAGATCCAGCTTTTTGCTGGTTAATTGAAGTTAAGCATCTCATGGATTTGTTTGCCAAGCCCCAATTCTTTCTCAGCCTCCTAAGTAGCAGGGACTATAGGCATGAGCTATAAGTATCTAGCTGTTCTTCACTTTTTATTTTTGCCAGTACCAGGCCTTGAACTCAGGAGCTTTGAGCTTATTTAGCTTGCTTGCTCACAGTTGGCACCTACCACTTGAGCCACATTTCCAGCCTGGCTTTCTGTGGTTAACTGGAGATGAGTTTGAACCACAGTACTCCAGGTCTTAACCTCCTGAGAAGCTACAATTTTATGCTTAAGCCATCAAAGCCTGGCCTAAATGCTTTGAATCCTCTCATTCTCTTCTACATGTTAGCTTGGATTTTGTCAGTAACCTAGCTACTATTCTTTGAGGAAATGGGAGAGAGTGAGAGAGAGTGTACATACACGCACATGCACAGATCCTGGGGTTTGAACTAAGGGCCTGGGCTCTGTCCCTGAGCTCTTTTGCTCAAGGCTAGTGCCACAGTACCACTTCCAGTTTCCTGGCAGTTAATTTGAAATAACAGTCTCATGGACTTTCCTGCCTGGGCTGGCTTCAAACCATGATTCTCAGATCTCAACCTCCTGAGTAGCTAAGGTTACAGGTGTGAACCATTGGCACCTGGCTAAATTTTTTTTAATCTATTGCAATACAAAATCATAGCAGCCATGTACTGGTGGCTCACACCTAGTGGCTCACACCTGTAATCCTAGTTACTCTCAGGAGGTTGAAATGTGGAGGATCACAGTTGGAACCCAGCTCAGACAGGAAAATCTCTGAGATTACATCTCCATAAGAACTAGAAAAAAACAGGGATGGAGGAGTGGGTTAAGTAGTAGAGCAGCAGCCAAACAAGCAAGCAGAATAAGTTGGAAGCTAAGTTCAAACCTCAGTATCAGAAAGAAGAAAAGGAGAAAGACAAATATATATAATAAAAACTATTTCATAGCTGGGTACCGGTGGCTCACATTTGAAATCCTACCTACTCAGGAGGCTGAGATCTGAGGATCACAGTTCAAAGCCAACCTGGGCAGGAAAGTCCATGAGACTCTTTATTTCCAATAAACTTCTCAAAAAGCTGAAGTGATGCTGTGGTTTAAGTGATAGAGCACTAGCCTTGAACTCAAAGAGGCTCAGGGATAGCACCCAGGCCCTGAGTTCAAGCTCCAGACTGGCATAAAAAAAACCAAAAACAATCTATTTTACCTCCATAATTGCTTTCTTCTTTAATTCTTTCACACTAAGATTTTAGTCATTTAAATGTATTACCTATAACAGAAATAGCCATTTGCTAAAAGTAAAAAAAAAAAAAAGCACAAAGTATTTATTAAACATTATTCCTTCTGTCTCATAGTTGATGATGGTGCTGCTGAAAAGGAAACCCTGCCAGAATTTGGAGAGGGCAAGGACACGGGAGGACTTGTGCCTGGAAAGTCTTTGGTCTTTGCAACACTAGAACTGTGTGTGTGCATTCTAGTTAGACAACTCCCAGAACTAAATCCTGAATTGACAGGTAGCTCAGGAGTAAAAGTTACAAAGCCACAGTTGCTGTCAGAAGATGGAAGTAGATTAGTTTCAGCTGCATTGGTTATCCTTTCGGAACTTCCCACGGTGTGCTCTCCTGAAGGTATGTTGTGGTTTGCAATTGTTTGCTTGTCCTGAAAGGAAGAAAAATGCCCTTCATAGATAACGAAATCTAGTTGCTGATTTTTTTTTCTCATTATGAGAGAAAGCTGACCCAAACATTTAAGTATTGTTACAACTGTGAAAGTAAATATAAGACAGCAAGTAGTATAGATGTACATGCTCTTCTGTGGTTGATTATTCTTTTTTCCAGTGCTGGGGATTAAATCCAGGGCTTCAGGCAAATTAGGCATGTGCTCTACCACTAAGCTACATTTTTAGCTGAAAATATTTTAAAGTCAGTCAATGGCAATTATTCGGGCTTTAACATGTATGTAGGTGCATGGGTACACTGGTCCTGGGCTTAAACTCAGAAATTGTGTTCTGTCTCTACTTGAGTCATGGTTCTACTTCTGGCTTTTTTTGGTAGTTAATTGCAGATAAGAGTCTCATGGACTTTGTTGCCCTGTCTAGCTTTGAACCACAATCCTCAGATCTTAGCTTCCTGAGTAGGTTGGATTTCAGACATGAGCCACCAGTGCCCAGCTCTTAACATCTTTTAAGTGTGTAATATCTATGGTCTTTTCCTGCTTCCATGATGACAGAAACTGGTGGTCATATCCAGTTCTTTTTTAAATTAAATATACTGGACTTTTTTTTTTGGTGCCAGTCCTGAGACTTGAACTCAGTACCTAGGCACTGTCCCTGAGCTTTTTGCTCAAGGCTAGTGCTCTGCCTCTTGAGTCACAGCTTAA